CTTTGCAACGAGCATTTCTGTGCTGCAACAAAGAAATGCACCCTGCAAAGAAAGCTTCAAATTGGCGGGAAATTCTCCCTTGCACCGGGGTTCTCTTTTGCAGCAGAAAACTCCACCGTGCAAGGAAGCTATAATTTAGTGGGAACAATTTAGCAGTGCCGAAGCACACAAAACAAAAATCACACCCTTTGGGTTGTGACATCTTGATTCACCGAGATCTGGAAATCCATAGTTTCATAGTTGGTAGGGTTGAAAGGGACCTGAGCAGATCATCAAATCCGACCCCCTGCCATGGCAGGAAAGAAAGAAAGCTGGGGTCAACAACCCCGGCGAGGTGATTATCTAGCCTTTTGAAGACCCCCAGCGTAGGAGCGAGCACCACTTCTCTTGGAAGTTGGTTCCAGATCCTAGCCGCCCTGACTGTGAAGTAGTGCCTCCTGATGTCCAGCCTGAACCTACTCTCAGTCAACTTGTGGCCATTATTCCTAGTTACTCCTGGTAGTGCTGGGGGGAACAGGGTTTCTCCCATTCCCCGCTGATCCCCCCTGGTAAATTTATAGATGGCCACCAGATCCCCTCTCAGCCTTCTCTTGTGGAGGCTGAACAGGTTCAGGTCCCGTAGCCTCTCTTCATAGGGCCTTCCCTGCTGCCCCCTGATCATGTGAGTGGCCCTCCTCTGGACCCTCTCGATGCTGGCCACATCCCTCCTGAAGTGCGCTGCCCAGAACTGGACGCAGTACTCCAACTGCGGCCTGACCAGTGTCGCATAGAGGGGGAGGATGTGATGCATCTGTGAATACATGACAAGGTACGGTTGGCCTTACTGACCATGTCCTCACATTGGCGGCCCATGTTCATCTTGGAATCAATAGTGATTCCAAGATCCTTTTCTACCTCTGCTGATGAGAAGGGAGTTCCCCAGCCTATAGGTATGCTGCTGGTTCTTCCTCCCTAGGTGCAATACCCTGCACTTGTCCATATTGAATCCCATCCTATTCACATCCGCCCACCCCTGTAACCTGTCCAGATCTAGTTGTAGCCTGTCCCTGCCTTCTATCGTGCCCACCTCTCTGCACATCTTAGTGTCATCTGCAGATTTGAACAAGGTGCTTTTCACCCCCTCATCCAAGTCTGATGAAGATGTTGAACAGTGCAGGCTGGAGGACCAAGCCCTGAGAAACCCCACTGCCCACATCCCTCCAGGTCGAAAATGACCCATCCACCACTACTCTCTGGGTGCGGCCCTCTAGCCAGTTTGCCACCCATCTGACTGTGTAGGTATCGGCGCCACAGTCACCTAATTGTTTTATGAGAATGGGGTGAGAGACAGTGTCAAAGGCCTTCCTAAAATCCAGAAAGACTACGTCCACTGCGACACCTGCATCCAAGGATTTTGTGACCTGGTCGTAGAAGGCTACCAGGTTGGTCTGACAGGACCTGCCTCTAAGGAAGTCATGTTGGTTGCCCCTAAACATAATGTCCCTTGCTGGACCCTCACAGATATGCTCCTGGATAATTTTCTCAAAGAGCTTCCCCAGGACCGAGGTAAGATTAATGGGCCTATAGTTTCCTGGGTCCTCTTTCCTCCCCTTTTTGAAAATGGGGACCACATTGGCCCTTTTCCAGTCCTCTGGCACCTGGCCAGAGCACCATGAGTGTTCATAAAGCCATGCCACGGGTCCCGCAATGACCTCTGGTAATTCCCTCAGCACCCTGGGGTGGAGATCATCTGGACCTGCTGATGTGAACATGTCCAGCCCTTCTAGAAGTTCCCTAACTAGGTCCTCTCTGACCCTAGGCCTGGCTGTGCCTCCTTTGGGACCATCTGGAATCCTGGTGCGGGGAATGTCCCAGTCCCTACTCAGAAAAATGGAGGCAAATAATTTGTTAAAGAGGTCAGCTTTATCACCTGGTGCAACCACCAGATTGCCAAGCATGTCCTACAGGGGCCCCACATGGTGCTTTCTTTTTACTCCTTATGTATTTAAAGAAGGACTTCTTGTTATCTTTGATCCTGGTCACTAGTCCTAGTTCTGTCTCTGCCTTAGCCTTCCTAACAGGCCCCCTACAGTCTCAAGCAATGGAGGTATACTACTCCTTGGTGATGGCCCCTCAGTTCCATCTGGTGTATGCCTTTTTAGCTTTCAGATGTTCCTGAATGCCTTTGGTGAGCTGTGGGGGCTTTTGAGCACTCTTGCCCCCTTTGACTCACGTTGGGACTGTCACCCCTTGGGCTCAGAGGATTGTCTCCTTAAGGAATGACCACTCGTCTTGGACTCCCAACTCCCCTCCCCTCCGGAACCTCAGTACATCCCCAACTAATCTCCTTAACTCATTGAAATCGGCCCTCCTGAAGTCAAGGGCTGCTGCCTTGCTGCAGGCCTTTGACCCCCTGCTCTGGATGGTGAATTCCAGTAGGCAATGATTGCTATCGCCCAGGTGCTCGAGAACCGGCAGTCCCCTCACCAGGTTGTCACCTGTGGCCAGGACCAGGTCCAGCAAGGCATTTCTCCTGGTGGCACTTAGCACCTCCTGGGTTAGGTGGAGGTCCTGTATCTTGACTACGAACCTACGTGAGCAGTCAGACTTGCCTGACTGCTCCTCCCAGCAGATGTCCGGGTAGTTTAGGTCATCCATGATGACCACGTCCCTTGACTTAACTGCCTCCGCAAGCTGACCTGAGAATTCCCGGTCCAGCTCTTCCCCCTGGTTGGGTGGTCTGTAGTAGACCCCCACCGTTAAGTCACTTTCCCCCGACCCCCTTGTATTCTGACCCAGAACATTTCAGTCTGCCCCTCCTCTGACCCCATGTTGTTTGTTGAGGACGTGTATTGCTCTTTGGCATAGAGCACCACACCCCAACCTTTTCTCCCCGTTCTATCCCACCTGAACAGTCTGTAGCCCTTGATGTTTACCGCCCAATCATGGGTTGAATCCCGCCAGTTTTCAGTGAGCCCGACTATGTCCAGATTTGTGTTAGCCAACAGGAGGGCAAGTTCTTCCTGCTTGTTCCCCATACTACGAGCATTGGTGTAGAGGCATTTAAGGCCTCCGATGGGTGCATGCACCTCCCCCGATCCCAGGACTATCCGAACCCCTGTCACTCACCTGGGTACTTCTTGTGCTCATCACCTGTCTTGGCTGGGAAGTGTCCTCATGTCCCCCTGTGGCCCCATCCCCCAGCAAAGCTAGTTTAAAGCACACCATACAAGATCAGCCAACCTGGAAGAGAAGGCATGCTTG